CTCATTCAAGACTTACAGTCAGGGACAACATGCTTTGTGCCTTGTCTTGTGGTGGAAGGGGACAAAGCAAGTTGGTTTTCTTTTCTTTTTTGGATATGGATCAACATCACATATGTGGCACAAATAAACAATATGCAAGCCAGACAACAAACTGATGGATGAACGAACAAGTGAAAAATAAAAATAAAAAATAAAATAAAAACCACACGGGAATGCCTTAAGATGAGTTAATCATTATATAATGACATGCTGGGGCAGCTTGTCACAGATGTTTTATGTTGTAATTTGAAACAATTTTAATATATTTGCAGTTTCATGATTTACATTTCATAATCATTATACTGTATATATTCATACCTTCCTGAGCAATAATGATTCAACAGCTTTTTGTATCATTTGAGGCTAATGCATACTGTTATATTGTTACACTTCTCAGGAGGCAAGGAGCGAGGAACGAGGAAACACGGCGATAACTTCAATTCACAGTCTTTAATGATCACACGGGGAACGTAGGAGCCACTAGACACTAAGGAATGACGTTTGAGGACCGACAAACACTAACTGAAAGGACTGGGGCTTTTAAACACTGGGTGATTGGGAAAACACAGGTGCAAGGAATGACTAATTAAAGGGAACATGGCACACCTGGGGAGGGAAAAACACAACACAAAGAGTCCAGGGGCGTGACATTACTCCCCCCTCCCGGAAGGTGCGTCCTCGCACCATAGAAACAACATGGGGAGGGGAGTGGGTGGGAACTAGGGAGGAGGCTGAGGAGGAGGACGGACGCCCGGGAGGGGGCCGGCAGACAGAGTCCAGGGAGGAGACGCTGGAGGATGGCAGTCCCGCGGGGCTCGCACCGCAATGCTGGTGGGCTGAGGGCGAGCAGAGGGGCTGCCAGCGGTGGAGGAGCCTGGAGCGGGTGGGAGGGCCGGCATTTTTGAGGAGCGGGCACTGGAGAGAGCTCTTGGGCTGGAGCCCTTCCTGGGCGGAACTGGGGATCAGGAGCCCTTCCTGGGCTTAACAAGAAATCAGGAGCCCTTCCTGGGCTGTATTGGGGATCAGGAGCCCTTCCTGGGCTAAACGAGGAATCAGGAGCCCTTCCTGGGCTGAATTGGGGATCAG